CACACACACACACACACACACACACACACACACACACACTTTCTAACCAAAGTGGGAGTTTAGGTTTCGGTTAAGCTTTTGCCTTTTAGTGCCAGCTAGTGATTTCAATCCGGAGAAGATGAAGTCGTAGTCGTTTAAAACAAAAGACACACTCTCATAATTTGTATGCAGGTAGTTCCCGGGGGAATAAGGATCAGTGTATGTTCCTCCTCTACCTCGATGCCACTTCAGTCAGCAATACTAAAGGTACTGAAGCGTGTGTGTTCGAAACTGAATTATTACGTTTTTGTTTTTTTTAAATGAACGAAGTAATAAGGTGTTATTTCTTGTTAATGTGCAGGTCATCACTCCAAGTCAGGCCAGGGCTCTCCTGAAGATCGCTCTGGAGGAGAGGAGTTCAGTCTGAAGGAGCTGTACGCCATCCAGGAGATCCAGTCCCAGCCCGACCTGCTGAGACTCATCGTACAGTAAGATATTCATATCACCCTAAATATTACACCTTAACTGTTTGGAAAAGTAAGAACTGTCTTGGATATCAACTCGTAGTTTGACTCAGACCACAGACATTTGATTCATGTGTATAAAGTGATTTTCCCTGGCTTTTCTTCAGTAGTAACATCATGTTTTCTCTGTGAGTTGAACAGCTAAGCCTTCACACAAATACAGCTTAGGTTAGTCAAACAATCTCAAAATAGCACTACAAGTCTGTGTCACAAACATGATCAGAGTTCAGAGGGTAAAAACCTCTGATGTAGGAAACACACCTGGCTCTTTTTGGCCCCATCTCGTGGTTAAAACTTGGTATTTTTCTTGCTGTTTTGAATTTATTTAACATTTGTTTTTGTATTACATAATAAGAATTACAGCCACACAGGGCTGATACTGTGGATGTACACTTTTTCTCCTCTTTATTATGGTTTGAAAACAGTACTCTGATTTTCTCCTTCGTTTTCAGGTCTTTGTGTCCTGTCATCTACGGCCACCTGGTGAGTTGTCAATGCATTACACTTCTTACAAAATTGAAAACACAAACACCATTTCATGACTCACTGAGGTAGGTTCATTTATGATTGCTGTACTAACTGTATTAATATAAAAAAATTGAATTGAAACTCGTGAATTGGTTGAATACAGTTTACAGGACATTTTCCTTAACGCAGTGTCCACACGGCAGCGTGCGTTGAAGCTTGCCGGCGGGCGTGTCTGAAGCGCGACCAACAACCAATCACATGAATCTCCCGCCCCGGACACACAAGCACGCTGTTTGATTGGCTAGAGCTTGTACTGGCATATGATTTGATTGGCTGACGCTTCCGTCGAAGCTTGAAAAGTTGAACTTTTCTCAACTTTTGAAGCGAGCGACAGAGGCAAAGCGCCGCGACAGAACCACAATGCAGTTCGGCAAAGCCTGACGTCACCCCATTCAAAGTGAATGGGAAGCAGCGTTGAAGCTTCAACGCACGCTGCCGTGTGGACGGGCCGTTATTTGATTTGTATCAAAAAAGGGCTGTGAATTACTGTAAAGTTACGGGAGATCAACCTCAGTCAGTCTTCGAGTTCTTCCGATTTTGCCTTAAATAATGGCTATTGCGACCTCTTCAAAAGAACACATTAACATTGGCCCAAGTCACCTTCTTTGCTGTTGTGCTGATGAGAAAACAGCGAAGAGGAATGAGTAAAACAGTCTGTGTTTGTGTGTCCCAAGCTGGTGAAAGCTGCTCTGTCCCTGGTGTTGTTTGGAGGCCGACAGAAACACACGGGGAAGAACAGCGTCCCCGTCAGAGGAGACCCTCACATCCTGATGGTGGGAGACCCCGGCCTGGGGAAGAGTCAGATGCTGCAGGTAACAGAAAACACAGGAAACACTCTGAACGTGGATCACATCACTCCAGTTTTGAGGTCTTTACACTGACTTCCTGTCTGTCAACAAATGTTTATAAAGCACTGAATGGCCAAAATACATTTCTGATCTTCTGCCACATTATGAACCATCCAGGTCTTCTGCTTGTTCTGTGATAGTTGGACTGTTTGAATGTGAAAAAGTAATACTTACTTCTTTATTTACGTGTGCTCTGTGTAGGCAGTGTGTAATGTGGCTCCCAGAGGAATCTATGTCTGTGGCAACAGCACAAGCACCACAGGTAAGCTGTCTTAACTTGCTCTACTTACATTATGCAGGCTTTGTGGACACACTGACACTCATTCTTTGTGTTTTGTTCTTGTTTTTTAGGACTTACAGTGAGTTTATCCAGAGACGCAGGAACAGGAGATTTTGCTCTAGAGGCCGGGGCCTTGGTGCTGGCTGACCAAGGTAGGAAAGAGAGGAAATGTTATTACAAAGTGTATTTTTGGCCTTTCTTATGTTCAAATAATGTATGTTTATTTATAATGGTGGCCTTGAGATCCTCACAGAAGTCATGTGTGTTTGTTTGAAGTCAGATCTGCTCAATGTAACACAAAGTATTAAAGGGGACCTATCATGTAAAATGCACTTTTTGATGTCTTTTATACATCTATGTGTCCCCGGTGTGTCGGGGAACTCATGCAGCGTTAGAAAATAAACCCTCTCTCTTTTCCTCCGTACCCAAATCTCTAAAAACGGGGCTACAACGGAGCTGATCCAGATTTGCGTCCGATATGACGTAATATCTGAAATGTGGACCCACGGCCCTATCAGAAACGTTGCTATCAGAAACAATGCCCTGACTGTTTGGACGTAATATGGTCGTGCATGTTTACATTAGCATCGCTAACACTCAGAGCTAACCTGTACTGGAGAGCATGTGTGTGAAGAAGCAGGAAATAAAAAGGAACTCACCTTGTGGTATAACCGGCAAGAGAGAAAGCCTTTGAGCTCCATACTGTTTCAGAAATAATCCTTGATAATCCATGATATGGCGTTTCATCACGGCAGTATTTAGTTTAGACAGTAGCTGCTGGGTCCCGCATGAGCTCAGACCCCTCCTTTTTTATTTTGTATTTAAAGCTTTATACCCAAAATCAGCACTTTTGAAACAGGAAGTGAAATAGAGGGATATGAGGCATGGCTAGAATGGGTGATCCGTTTGGTATTTTGTGCAAAACACTTCATAGACATGTTTTTTATATATTTGTATATATCTGAGACCTATGCTATTGCCTAAAAATAGCATGATAGGTGACCTTTAACTCTCAATGCCTAGAAGACACATGTTGCTTATCTAATGATCTTCTTCCCTGGCCTCCCTCTCTGTTAAACACTGCCTCTGTCGGCTCTCTTTAGGCGTGTGCTGCATCGATGAGTTTGATAAGTTGGGCAACCAGCAGCAGGCTCTGCTGGAAGCCATGGAGCAGCAGTCTGTGAGTCTGGCTAAAGCTGGAATCGTCTCCTCTCTTCCTGCCAGGACGTCGGTCGTAGCGGCTGCCAACCCCATCGGAGGACATTACAACCGAGGAAAGACTGTTTCTGAAAACCTCAAGTAAGTTAGCTCAACACTGATTCAGTTTTGATAGTTTTTTTGGCAACTGCTGGACGAAGTAATTGTGGTACCAAGGTTCAAAGTTAGTGGGTGTTTCTCAATCGCGAGTACGCTTGCTTGGTAGCACATGTCTGCCGAGCATCTTGCTTCAGAAGCGAGTCAAGAATACTTCCTGACATTCGGAAAACGAAGTGTGGAACACGCTAGCAAGTGTGCAGGTGTGCGTCATATGAGAGGCCCCGCCTCTTACATCTTCCGCCACAGATTTGGGGAAATTGGTCCGTGCGCAAAGCATTGTGGGAATTTTAAGACCGCGAAGTCTACTCATGTGCAGACTCGATATTTCTCCAAACGGAGTACGCCGGGCTCGGTAGATTTCCAAGTATACTGGAGATTGGAACAGTACTTCGGCGGCACTCAATGACGTAGTATGCTTGAAATAGTGGCTCTGAAGCAGCTTTACTCGCGATTGAGAAAGTGTGTGTGTGTGTGTGTGTGTGTGTGTGTGTGTGTGTGTGTGTGTGTGTGTGTGTGTGTGTGTGTGTGTGTGTGTGTGTGTGTGTGTGTGTGTGTGTGTGTGTGTGTGTGTGTGTGTGTGTGTGTGTGTGTGTGTGTGTGTGTGTGTGTGTGTGTGTGTGTGTGTGTGTGTGTGTGTGTGTAGTGGTTTATCTGTATTTGTGCATTCTCTGTCTTCAGAATGGGCTCAGCGCTTCTCTCTCGATTCGACGTGGTCTTCCTCCTCCTGGACATCCCGGATGAGTCACATGACCGTCACCTGTCTGAACACGTCATGGCGAGCCGGGCAGGAAAAGGCAGAACCAGCAGCGCTTTAGTTACCCGGGCTAACAGCCAATTAGAGACCTCCATCCTGCTGGAACACTCTGACATGCCGTTGTCTCAACGCCTGCAGGTACGTTTATTTATACGGCACATTTCAACAACAGGGAAATTCAAAGTGATTAATAAAACCAATCAAGAAAATCAAAGTCAACTCGATTGTCAATCTTTCAGTTTGTGTGTACAGACGGAGAGATCGAAATACCGTTTCCCAAAATCCCGAATACAATAACAAAAGATATATAAAAATATGTATATACCTATATATACACAATCAACAGACACATTTATACATATGCACACATTAAGACGTAAATAAAAGCACAACAGTCAATATATACAAACTAACAGTCACTTCAATAACTTTGAGAAATGTGCATTAGTGCAAGATTGTCCAT